GACCTGTATTTAGCCGTGGAAACAGAAGAAGCGTGACGCAGACAATGAAATCTATGCTGCAGTAAATGAAGTCTATGCAGAGTAACAGCAAAGCTCTGCACTAAATGCTGAGAAATGCTGATGGGGCCTGACGCTCCCTGGAGGCCGCTGTACACACAACCTAATCACAGCAGAACATTCTTCAGTCCAGTTACCATTTCTTCAGACATAATAAAATGTATTTTTAAATACTGCAAGGGGAAGGGTCAGATTTTAAATTCCACTTCCCCGCTGAGATTTTTCAGTCCGGTATAACACGCTTCCTAAATCTCCATAGAGGAGCGTTCCTCTTATTTAGGAATGAGTTTAAGCGTGTTCGGATTCCTAGTCCAAACCCGCCTGAGCTATTCTGCCACAAAGCTGTCCCTGCACACCACCAATCATAAGCAGCCGAGGTAATCCCACGTGTAACAAGCGGCATTTATATGTGCGGTGTCAGGGAATGAATCGGCTTATGATTGATGGTATGCAGGGACACCTTTCTGGTTGAACAGCGCAGGCGGGTTCAGACTAGGAATCTGAATACACCTGAGCTCATCCCTGCTCTTCTCTTCCTGTTCGGTCTGGTGCCTGTCACCTGGAAAGGAAGGGAGGTGAATTCTCCCATAAAGGTACAGATACTGACATCAATAAAACCCTGACAGTAGATCTAAATCTACCACACTAGAAAATGTGCGTTTAAAGCTGAAATCCAGGAATTCAGCCACTTTGTAAAAAGTGAAGGCACACTATGAGTTAAATCCAAGGACGTGCATGCCACTCCTGGACTCCTGGACTTATCTCTACTATTTATATCTGGCGGGTTTATGGCTCTGCCAGAGCACACAGAAGCAAACACTGAGACATGCTGTGAGGGAAGAGAGAAGCACACAGAGCAGGTATGCCCACCCATCCTATTTGCTTGTCATTCACAGAAGCCTTTGTGTTTTGTGAATGAGTTCACATAATACAAAGGCTTCTGTGATTGGACAAGAGAAAGGGAGGGGTGGGAATAGCTGCTGAAGAATCAGCATCAAACTCCTGGAAATGCAGCCATAGCTGTCTTCCGGTGAGTGCAATAAAGCGGTCTGATATAAATAACGGAGATAAGTCCAGGACTTGTCATGCATCTGGTTGACTTAACTGATATTGTGCCTTCACTTTTTACAAAGGTGCTGAATTCCTGGAGTTCAGCTTTAAATGCAATCTGTGCCCCTGATTGGAGGATCGGCCCACACTTCCTGTTATGTCGGAGACCTGTCAAAATACAGGAAGTGGCCATATTTCCCCTTTCACACTCTAACCAAACAGATACAGCCGACATTAGGACAGCATCCCTATAAAATAGAAGTGAGAACACTGTATAGTGCTCTGCCATCCATACAGGCAGGTGGAATGTATGGGAAGGACACAGAAAGCTGCAGATCTTTCATTGTATGTAAATTCTAACAATACATTTCTCTTATTTGCTCCCTTTTGGTCTGTGAAATATACCAAGGAAAGAATATTAGATCTGTTTGACAAGTGCCAAAAAAATAACTTCACTTAGCAAGAAATTTTGTGAGCTGATAACCTCCAGCCCCCCCCCCCCCCCCCCCCACGTTATAGAGAAGAGAGGTGTTATGTAGTCTTGACACATTTCCTGTCCTGGGATGACAACACGTTGAAATAAAAGAAAAAAAAGAGTGTAAGAAAAAAAATCAAATGCAGTAATCAACATACAGTACTGGGACAAGTTCATCTAGCACCCAGAGCAAGACTGTGGAACTGCACCCCCCCCCCCCCCTACACACACACACTGTTTTTGCATTCCATAGAATGGGTTTAATGCCCTGTGTCCATTCTCTGCCCCCTTGCTCTGCTGTGCCCAGGGCAGCTGCCCATTCTGCCCACCCCTTGTCCTGGCCTTGTAAGGATTGCTAAGCTCCAAAACTATCAAATTTTGTTTTTGGATTGAATAGATAAGTATGGGTTGAAGAAAAAAATATTCACCTAGGTGGATGCAGTATCGTTCCGATGCTGCATCTGTCTGCCGCCGCTTCTGAGACTGAGAACTGAGCAGTCAAAGACCGATGATCACTCAATTCTCAGTCTTCAGTGAACAGAAAGCCGGGGACTGTCATTCTCCAAAACTCTGCTCTTCCCCTCCAGCACTCCAGAGTGTCAGACTGAGGAGGGGTTGGGAGCACCTGGCTTAGGCTCTCAGTGGATTGCTGAAAGGCTGAGTCAGGTGCTGGTACAGGCATCTGGGTGGATCCCGACTTTAATGTCAGTATCTTTGCAGTGCCTGGAACGGCTGAGTGACTTTAGCTGACAGCAAACTTTAGCCCCTCTGTAGTCTGAAAACTGGTCACAGGAGTATATAACAAAGAGCACTCCTGTGATCCTCAAGAGAAGAAGGCAAATAGAGCTTTGGCCATACTTACACACTTTAAGGCTGCCACCAGCTGCCTATATAGCCAGGCAAATGTGTGTGAATTACAAGGCTGGCTAAACAGATGTTTCAACAGATACAATTATTTTCAAATGTGTAAATACTGCAAAATTGAATTGTTTGGCTGGAATTCCATTTTTTTAATGATCTTTATAGTGTATATAAAGAATGCAATCAAAATTCTCTGGCATATGCAAGATTTAGATAAAACACTGGGAAATGCCAAACATGAATATTTTCACTAAAATAAGGCTGTTTTTTCAGATCTGGAGCAGAATTCCTTCCTGAATATGCAGCTGCAATTATCAGGAGTAAATCAGAATGATATAAAACTGAAGAGGCAATTAGATCCAAGAAACAAAGCGACAATCATTTTCATCAGCATGACTCAGTTTTTTTATACACAAGACACCTGTGCTAGACGCCATAGCAGGATTCCATGAGAACAGAAGAGAGAAAGGACTCTCAGAATCACAACCGCCAATTCTCTACATAGAACATTACAAAAAACAAAAAAAACACAACATCCTGATTTGCTCAGGAATGCCTAAGGACTCAGTTCACCTGCCACATATGTGACATCTGTTTCGGAGAGAGCGTTTTATCTGCTATCAGATGCATTTCTATTTCAGCATCTGATTCCGTCTGAATGTACAATGTACAGCAAGTACAAACGTGTTCCATTATGAACGAGTTCTTGCAGCATAAACTATCAAAAGTACTGAAATGCCTCAAAGTGACAAAGTCATACAAAGTGAACTATATTCGAACAACCTGGTCAGAGAATTCCACTCTTAGAAGTGTGGCTGCCCCCAAAATCTAGATGTTGGGGTAAGTATGGTATTTTAAACTGGAATTTAAAAAGAAAAGGTTAAAAGTAAAAACAAGAAGCTTCTTTAACTAAAGGTTTGATAAATTAAAATAAAAGAAAAAAAAATAATAGAAGCTGCCATTGCTGACCTTTTGTAAAGCTGCAAGTCTCAGGGCTGTCAACCTTTGTTTCGCTACTTAATGGATCAGTGAGTCAGATCAAATATGGAACTAGTGAAGTTGGGACCCCTTAGGCTATATTCACACGGGAGCATATCTCATAGTTTGCTGTGTTCATAGGTTGTTAAATGCCACCTTTGGATGCTGCAACACTCTGTGCCAACACTATGACCACATAAAAGTGGCTGAATAGCTACATCTAGAACTGCGTAGAAATGTCAACCCTGGATGCACACGGTCTGCACCTAGGGTCGGTTGGAGGCTCTATTCACATATAGCTGCCCAGCTGAGAAATTACATACGAATGGTGACGGCTCCGGCCATTGACAGAGAACAAATCTGACAACCACCACTGATAGCTTCTGCTGGTCACACACTGGCATCTAGAACCCCCAGCAAGAATCTACTGATTTTATTTGGCAGCCACCCTGGCTGCTCTTGTTCGACGATGTAGCCTTACCTGCATATTCAAAGAAACTCCCTAAGCCTTGGCACTCACGGGTGGTGTTTGTACACTATATGGCCAACAAAATGCAGACACCCCTTCAAATGATTTTCCATTCAGGGTCATGAGAAATCTGCAAAGCCTGAGCTTGTACAATAATATTGTGTTCAAGCGGAGATGTCCAGTAACCAACATCTTTTTCATTACATAATAGAATGTACACATTATTACCACACTCCTACCTTATTTTTTAAAAACAATATAAAAGAACCAATATGACCATCCGGGTATACTTAATGAGGCTGGAAGGTGCCCCAGACCACCCCCCCCCCCATTCATGGCCACACAAGCATCTTATCTATACGAGTACCATGTCGAACATATTCTCAATCATAAAGCAAAAAAAAAAACAAAGCCAGAGATTTCTCAGGGACTTATATGTACAGGATTTAGCTTTCATAACAGCAACATATACAGCCAGCTTTACAAAGCATTTGCAAAGCTTTCAGCAAAGTTCAAAATGCTTTGCTGAAGCCTTTAGATTGATCTTGTTGATACACAAAAAATGATTGAGCTTGCAGCACCCTACTAAAGACTATTACTAATGTTTACGTCTGACAGGCAGCAACTTCAGTGTTTGTTATCTTCTACACTATAGCAAGGGCTCTGCTGGCATCCAACACTTCTGCCTGTGTCAGATACTGTGTACCCGCTGCACAACATGATCCCATCTGACATCACTGTGCCCTGTAGTAGTGTAGTGGTCAGCAGGGGGAACCACAGAATGCAGCGGGGAAAGCAGCACTGAACACACCCAGAAGTGTTGGATAGCAATGTTCCCTAAATGGAACCCATGCCAGTGGGGGACCTCCTCTGTTCACAATGCAGAAGGGCGGGCACTCGGCATGGGACCCCAGAGCCAGTGGAGCTCCCTGTAGTAGTGGTGCCTACTACAGTGATTTACAATTTCCAGAGGGATTCCACAGCTTTATTATGTACCGTATTTTTCGCTCAATAAGATGCACTTTTTTCCCCCCAAAAAAAGGGGGAAAATGTCAGTGCGTCTTATGGAGCGAATATAAAGTGGCCGGTCTGGTATTTCCGCCGCCACCATGTCAGAATACTGGGCCGGCCGCTCAGCTGTTCTCTGCGGCAGGAACTCACCTGTTCCTCGGTCCAGCGCTGTAGTCTTCCTGCGCCAGCTTCCTTCCGCCCCGGCATCTGTGACAGCCTGGTGCCCACTGCGCATGCACGAGAAGCGCCGCGCTTTTTGAATGGTCCGGCATCTTCTGGGACACATGACAGGTCCCAGGAGACGACAGGGCCATTCACAAAGCGCATGCGCAGTGGGCACCCGGCTGTCCTCCTCCCTCCCTAAAGGTCCGCAGTGTCTGGTCATCTCCTGTACTGTGTCCACAGTCTCTGGTCATCTCCTGTACTGTGTCCACAGTCTCTGGTCATCTCCTGTACTGTGTCCACAGTCTCTGGTCCATCTCCTATAATATGTCCGCAGTCTCTGGTCCATCTCCTGTACTGTGTCTGCAGTCACTGGTCATCTCCTGTACCGTGTCCGCAGTCTCTGGTCATCTCCTGTACTGTCCGCAGTCTCTGGTCATCTCCTGTACTATGTCCGCAGTCTGTGGTCATCTCTTGTACTGTCTGCAGTCTCTGGTCATCTCCTGTAATATGTCCGCAGTGTCTGGTCACTTCCTGTACTGTGTCTGCAGTCCATTGGTTCAGAATATTTTTTTTCTTGATTTTCTCCTCTAAAACCTAGGTGCGTCTTATGGTCAGGTGCATCTTATGGAGCGAAAAATACAGTACATAGTTTCATTGGTCCAAACGGGATCAATGTAATTATGTAAAAAATTGCCATACCTGGAAATCAGCTTTAATGGGAATGTTGACTGTCACTTTGAATCAGATGCTACCAGGCTTCAGTAGACTTTCAACAACTTCAGCTCTGCTTGAAATCTGAAAGCCTACCGAAGCCTAGAGTCATTACACCCTTTGTGACACCAGTTTAATACCCCTAAACTAGATTTACAGGGTTCCTTATATGCTTCAAGAAAGTGGTATAAGCTTGCAAATGCTTTGTAAAAGTTTGCTGTTTACATTGCTCTTATACCTATACATGCAAGAGCTAATATTTGAATTTTAGGAATCATCAGGACCCCATTGTTAACATTCCCTCCAGTTAGATCCTACCTCCATCACATTAAAAGTTTGTACTTTAAAGCAGAACCACAATAAAATATATTAAGCTTTATTACATTTAAATAAGTCTACATTTTATTAAGCCATACTTTTAGTATAAAAAAAACTGGTGCTGACAGCTGTTTGGATTGAACACACCTTCCCATCAGCTTAATTTGATGTAATGTACTTTTACACATGTACTGGACTTTAAAAATACAGTTTCACCTTACATTGAACAGGGATTACTGCTAAAATGACTACAAATACTAGCAGACAGCTTAAGACATGGATAAAATCGGTTGGTGTGAAAGCACCATCATTAGGTGTTAATTATTTCCCAAAAGGCTATACTGCAGTCAGGCCTTTCTTACAAATCAAGCTGCTTGAGGCAAACGCCTTTCCTGTCTGGAAATATCAACCTGTATCTCAAAAAGTGAACTGCCTTCCCCTCAATATATGAACAAAACTAGATCATTAGGACCTCAAGCCAGTTTGTAGCAATAAATTCCATTCTGGCCACAAACCAATGCATCCAAAAATATATTCTGTGATGCGCAGTGGCTCTTTCAAAAAAATAAAACTGCACCATACTGCAGAATGGATTTGATCACATTCTGAAATGTTATTTTCATGAAAAAACAACCAATCAGGTTTGATAGCTGAAATAATATTGGTTGTTGTCAGTAACACCTTCTCCTCTTCAGGTAAAAAAAAAAAAAAGCGTTTGAAAGAAGAAGCGCCTATGTTGCCTATAGAAATTGTTTTCTTCTCCTTTCAGGTTTCATGTATATACATGGGAGAAGATTTAAGCTGGTCTTACACTCATAGATTTTCAAATTAATATTTGTAAGAACATTCTTACTATACTCGATGACTTGATGAATGTCATTTGAAAAGTACTACTAAATTTTGTTTGCTTCAAACATTTGATGTTAGAATGGACTTTGGAGAGTAAAAACCACAAACACTGTTAGAAATGCGTTCGCTCAAGAAAACGGAATTTTCTCATCACTGCCGTCAAATATGGGCACTGATTTGACCCTCACTAATGATTAGGAAATCAAAAGAATGTTCTTAAAATAAAAAAAATTTCAAATAACATTCCATTAGTGTATGGCCAGCTTTAGTCCTATGTTGGCAATTTGGCAGCTCTGACATTTCTCAGAATGGCAGATATGCCAGAGTATTGATAGGCTAATATCAGCCCCTGTAGGATGTCAATCAGTCCATACTATTTAAATAAATTCAAAACTCACTGCAGCAAATCTTTGGCAGCAGTGATACCAAATAGAAATACGATCAATGCTACTGCTTCAAAAAAAAATTATGGTTACATCCAAAAATATCAACAGGTCCTCATTAAATCTGTTTCTGATTTGCTCATATAGGCAAAAACAGCCAGGTCTTGTTTCAAACACTTTGTTTCAGGAGGCTCAGAGGTGTTTCATCTGTAGAAATAAACGTGGTCAATTCCCGTAACAGAAATGGAATCTGGGCAGGTAAGGATTAAAACTTGCACAAATGGATATAAAACTGCAATCAGGAGACCTGCCATTTACAAAATGCCCATTCCTGCCTTTGCTCTCCATGCTCCAATCACAAAGAATTGGCACAACGCGCACTCCCTTAGCAGTAAGTGTTTTTAACAAATACAGATCTATAAAAAGAGCTTGCTGTGTGTAAGTGAGAGAGGAATCAAACGGGACTTGAAAAGGATTGCATGATTCAGGAGGCCCTTTGAACATCAACAGTATAAGCCATAAGCAGATTTAAACAAAATGATGGTTTAATATGCAATGGGCAACCTCACCCTCCTCTGGTTAATGCAAGCCAATTGCTTTGCAGAAGCAGACACAGATACATCTATGGCAGATTTGATCCCTAGTTTTGTTTTTGTTCCTCTAACCCTTTAGATATGAAGGGCCTGGGGCTTATAAGCAGAGATGCATCCAGCCATGTACAGTACTTTAAAGAACTGCAAAGAAAAAGAAAATCGTGTGGCTGGTTAGTGAGGCGTGATCACTGAACCGCGCAGCTAGCAGTGATGAAACAGTCATGTGATCAAATCAGCAAAAAACGGATGTCTTGTTTAAGAGAGCTCCTTTTCTCTTTGGGAACATCTACTAAGCTTCATTTCCGCCAGCTGGATGTACCGGATTACATTGGTATCTAGAACAAAGAACAGAGAGAGAAAAACTAATAATTAGCGCGCAAATATACCATTACATTTTGTTTCATATTTTCAACACAAAGGTACGATATGCTGAACATCTGCATAACCCCTGAGCTTGACCTTTTAAAAACCAAGATGTCTCTATAGATCATCAGACAAAACCCATACAGTATATATTGTAATTATAAAATGCATTTCCACTTTTGCAGTCAATTAGGAAAAAACCCTCTATATGTTTGTTATGTGTTCCTATTCACACAGACTATCTGAATAAAAAAAAAAAAAAAAATTACCTTTCAGACGTTTCTCAGGTGGAGGTATCATAGTTGACTGCAAGCAGCGCTAGAGTGAGCCTATCCCAGGTCTGTCCTCATTAGCATACAATGCAAGAAGACCAGCCTTTACTTCGTTAACTCTTTGTTAAGACAGACAGTGCTCAAATCTAGTTACAATTATTATTATACAGTATTTATAAAGTGCCAACAGTTCGCTCAGCGCTGTACATTGTAAAAGGGAGACAGAACATGCGACAGTACAGTAACAATACAATGCGATACACGAGGGGTTCGAGGGCCCTGTTCTTTCGAGCTTACAATCTAGGAGGGAGGGGATAGTGGTACAGGAGGAGATAGCTGTGGGGGATGGAGTGGTATGAAGAGTGGAGGTGGTCGGAAATTAGCAGGGGGTGGGGTAGGCTTCCCTGAAGATGTGAGTTTTCAGGGTGCACCTAAAGGAGAGGAGAGTAGGTGATAGTCTGATGGGCTGGGGCAGGGAGTTCCAGAGGATGGGTGACACCCTGGAGAAATCCTGGAGGCGGGCATGGGAGGAGGAGACCAGGGAACTAGAGGGAAGGAGGTCTTGTGAGGAGCGGAGTGTGCGTGTTGGGTGGTACTTGGATATTAGGTCGGTGATGTAGTTCGGGGCAGTATGGTGGACAGCTTTGTACGTCAGTGTTAGGATTTTGAATTTGATCCGTTGTGCAATCGGAAGCCAGTGGAGGGATTGGCAGAGGGGGGTGGCGGAAACGGAGCGGTTGGTAAGGTGAATGAGTCTGGCTGCTGTATTTAGGATGGACTGAAGCGGGGATAGCCTGTGGCGAGGCAGGCCAGTGAGGAGGGAGTTGCAGTAATCGAGTCGTGATATGATGAGGGAGTGGATGAGCTGTTTAGTGGTTTCTGGGGTTAGGAACGTGATAATGAAGACCTGCCTGCCCAGTATAGACAGGGTAAATTATGGCAAACAGCTGCCCAGACCCCTCATAAAAGTAAACTTACTGAGGATTTGCCTTGCTGAAGGGTCCAGAAAAAGGTAAGCTGCAATTTCTAATTTTTTTTTAAAGTTATGCTGTGAATGGGGATATGTAATAAATATAAATGTAGTTGTTATCCCAATTTGATTGCCAAAGTGGAAATATGCTTTAAAGCTGACCATAGACAGAGCTTCAAATGAAAATTCTTGGAAAAGAACATTCTAGGAAAGTGTGTTTTTCAAATCATAGGTGAGGTCAAATCAAAGTCCATTTTTGACCACAGTTCCGAGAAAATTTGAAGGAGCAAGATGGAAATTTTTTTCGTACAGTAAAGTCCTTTCATTTCAAAATCAATTGTCAAACGCAAACAAAATCTTTTGAATGACATTTGAATGTTCTGAGAACGTTTGTATGGATTTTCCTAAGACATTTCTTAAGAATGTTTGTTTGAAATTGTAACCATCTATGGTCAACTTAAGGCAGATGTTGTCAGGTTGCCTCATACACCAGCTTCACGTATCTTTTAAGGACTTTTGGTGGAACAATATCAGTACTTAAAGTTCTTAGCTCTACATACCTCCTTTATCTGACTATTAACAATTCCAAGTAGCCCGAATTTTCAGGCTACTCACAATGCTTTTAGAAAGAATGCAGAAGGATATCACCTATATAAAAGACCCCCAACAGCTCTCCAGCCTGTTCTGGAAGTGGTACATCTGCTCAAGCCAAACCCCCCCATACAACACATATACCAAGTGGGAGGTGCATCCAAAAAGAAGTCGCAACAAAAAACACCCTGAAGAAGCCCCGGTCAGTGGGAGGACCGGAGTGGGAGTAGGCGGAAGGGATCACGTTCTCCTTCCACATGCAATCCCCTGCTAAGAAGCCAGAGTACACGCCGGCTCTCCTGACCCGCTGTGTGAACACTGCATACTACGCTGCAAGCTGTGCCGTCTCATCCCTGGATACCGCTACCTGGGACTGCATGTCAATTTGTTCCACTCTGCTAGCATGGATGTCCTGAGATCCACATGGTGAGACTGTTCCATTTACCTGTTGCATTGAATGATGGACTTAATCTACTGCCTATGGACTACAGGGTCAATCAGCTACCAAGGTGTAGGCTGGACCTCCCTAGTTCCGACTATATGTCCTTTTTAAAGCTCTAATTACAATGATGTGAACAA